ATACGATCCCGACTTAATGTCTTGGGATTTTACTTAGTCTTTAAAGCTCCAAATCACTTGAATTCATTCCATAACACCTACATAGATCGAAATCACTCCTACAAGGCATAAAACACATATTTAGTGCAAAACACTAGCGATTAGAGCTCAAACTCAATTAAAGTGCAGTAAATTAGAGTGTAATAAGCGACCAAAATACACAATTATAGCCTATCATCAACACTCCACACTTAAACCATTGCTCATCCTCGAGCAATCAAAATACACTTTATATAGACACAACCTTTTTAAGCAATTTTCCTAATTCATCACACCAAGAATATTTAAAATAGACTAAGCACAAGAGTGTAACATCTTAACCTCAAGATTTGTCTCACAAGTACCACACATTATTCACAACTCACTCACTTACTCTAACATCGAGGTCAATGACATTACCTTTCCTTCATGAATCAAGTGCCCTCACACAACAAAAGAGAGTAGTTCCACACACTAAAATTTAAGAACAATTAGGAACTCAAGATAGAAAGAATTCACTCACTCTTAGAAATAACATTCATATGCCACAAAAGATGCACCATAAGCTTGCCCGTAGTGTACTACTCTACTAATCGAGCTCATTCAGTCTAGGATCAATTAGGACTTTATTTGGCTGTAATGTAGGCTGCGTGATGGGTAAGATACATTTAGATATATGAGTAGCTACACCTCCCTAAGCACTTTAATACATACACTTTAACATTGAAAACTCACACTTATGTCAAACCAAAACTCCACCTTCACATCAACATATATTAACTCCCCACTTCTTTAAGCACAATTACATCAACAGTCACCACTATCAGCAATACAACTAAATTTTTTTTTCTTTTCCAATTCAAGTGGCTCTTACTTTTTCAAAACAATGCACCTTTCTCCTTATTTCATTATTTCAACTCAAAAGTCAAACCAACTACCCCACACTTTAACTTTTACAAAATTCATAACAATTCAAGTGGTCATGAGAGGTGAAAAGGTTCAAATAGATGATTAATTCAAATAAATGGGTAAGGCTTGTAATGTGGTTGCCAAAAAACACAAGATTACATGCTCAAAGGGGTTAACTATGATACATAACAATTTGGCGGGTCAAATATTTATATGGCTCAACAAAGAAATGCCTATATCACTTCCAAGACTGAACAAAACTACTATTTCGCTTTGCAAACACACGGGGCAAGTTCTAGACATCAAATGCAATGCACAGAATAATACAAAACCTTACACACACATGGCACATAACTCACTCAGGATTGAACTCATCAAGACACTCTAGTCAAAGAAGTTAAGCAACATTAAGATCATACAATTTAAGGTACTTATACAAGAGTCAAAAATTGAGCCTAAGCGTCACAACTAAAGTACTCACTATTCTCAAGGCATGACAAAGTTAAAAGATATTGCTTCAATTTCAATCATAACACAATGGATTCTCTCTTAAAAAATAAAACTACCTACACTCGGTTCAAACAAAACCCTTGGAAAAGAACCGCGGCACGAAGAAAAACCAAGGGGGAATTGCTACACTACCTACAAAGAAATCTTTTTCTTCTTTTTCGTTAGACTTAAATCCCTCAAGAAAACTGTCTAGGAGATCCATCATCGGGAAAAGTCCATTTTTTTATTATTTTTTTATTATTTGTTTCCAGCTAATAAATGCTACAACTTCCTACTAATCAACTAGAGAATTCTCCCACCCTACACTTAACCGAAGCAATAGCGGCTCACAAGTACTCAGACTTCCCCCAGGCATAGTCCCTCGTGTGGGCACCCCACACTTAGTCCTCAACCTCTAACTCGCTTTTGCACTCTTCCAATGACTTTGCCTCATATGTTTATAATCCTACAAAACAAAAAGAAATACTACTACAATAATAAGAGCAAAATAATAATAATAATAATAATAATAATAATAAAAGGAATCAGTAAAGATGGGTTGCCTCCCAACAAGCACCTAAGTACAACCTTGGTCTTCTCACGATTAATCATTCCTCTCCAATAATGCTTGATTCTATGACCATTCACCAAGAATTTCCTCTCACCATTTAAAGCTCGTAGCTCAATTGCACCATAAGGTGTGACTCTCACCACCTCAAACGGACCTGACCATCTCGATTTTAGCTTTCCAGGGAATAACCGTAGCCTAGAATTGAATAATAATACATGTTGGCCTGGCTCGAAGTGACGCTGCTTGATATGCTTGTCATGCCATCTTTTTGTCTTTTCTTTATATAGGTAAGCATTTTCATAGGAGTGCAGCCTGAACTCATCTAACACATACAACTGCATAAGTCTTTTCTTGCCTGCGGCCTCAAGGTCCATGTTCAGCTTCTTAATGGCCCAATATGCCTTGTGTTCCAGTTCAACGGGTAAGTGACACGCCTTTCCATAAACCAGCTTATAAGGGGATGCTTCAATAGATGTTTTATATGCAGTCCTATATGCCCATAAGGCATCATCCAACTTTACAGCCCAATCCTTCCTATTCATACTCACCGTCTTTTCCAATATTTGCTTTATTTCTCTGTTTGACACCTCAACTTGCCCAATGGTTTGAGGATGATATGTTGTAGCAACTCTATGTTGAACTCCATATTTGGCTAGAAGGTTATTCATCAACTGATTGCAAAAATGAGTCCCCTCATCACTAATTAAGGCACGTGGAGTCCCAAATCTCGAGAATATGTTCTTTTTCACAAACACAGCTACCACCATGGCATCATTTGTTGGTAAGGCAATCGCCTCAACCCATTTTAACACATAGTCAACTGCTAGCAAAATGTATTTGTTTCCTCTGGACGGTGGAAATGGCCCCATAAAATCTATCCCCCACACATCAAAAAGCTCAACTTCTAGGATGTTATTCAAAGTCATCTCATGCCTCCTTATGATTGTTCTCGTTCTCTAACATTGGTCACACTTCTTAACGAATGCATGGGCATCCTTGAACAAAGTCGGCCAAAAGAGACTGGATTGTAGCACCTTTGCAGCTATTGTATCTCCTCCATGATGGCCCCCATAAGGTGATGTGTGAAAATCATACAACACTAATTCCACCTCTTTTTCAGGAATGCATCTCCTCATCAATTGATCAGCACATTGCTTGTACAAATATAGATCATCCCATTTGTAAAAGTTCACATCATGTAAAAACCTCTTTATTGCTTTAGATTCAATTTTAGAAGGAAGTACCCCACTCACAAGATAATTCACGTAGTCTGCATACCATGGAGGAGGGTCTTGGGTTATAGCAAAAATTTGCTCATCAGGAAATACTTCTTTAATTTGGCCACCCTCCTCCACGTGATCATGATTTTCCAACCTTGATAGATGGTCAGCTACTTGGTTCTGTGTCCCCTTTCGATTTCGTATTTCTATATCAAACTCCAGCAGCAATAAAACCTAGCGCATCAATCTAGCCTTAGATTCCTTTTTTGTAAACAAATACCTGATTGCTGCATGATCGGTATGGACTATGACTTTCGTTCCCACCAAGTATGCCCGAAATTTCTCAAAGGCCCACACAACTGCTAACAACTCCTTCTCAGTGGTGGTGTAATTCAGCTGGGCATCATCAAGAGTCTTACTCGCATAGTAGATGGAATAAAACACCTTGTCCTTCCTCTGGCCTAGCACTACCCCAATAGCATGGTCACTCGTATCACACATAAGTTCAAAAGGTAAGGACCAAGCAGGTGCCACAATAATGAGAGAAGTCACCAACTTCTTTTTAAGTTTTTCAAATGCCTTGAGGCAAGCATCATCAAAGTTGAAAGTTACATCTTTTTCAAGCAGCCTGCACAAAGGAGTAGCAATTTTTGAAAAATCTTTAATAAAGCGCCGATAGAAACCCGCGTGTCCCAAGAAACTCCGAACACCCTTCACTGAAATAGGTGGAGGTAATTTTTTAACTGCCTACACCTTCACTTTATCAACTTCAATGCCGCTCCTAGATACTCTGTGGCCCAACACGATGCCTTTTTATAGCATAAAATGGCACTTTTTCCAATTTAATACCAGATTTGTTCTTCACAACGGGCTAGCACCTTGCTCAAATTCCTCAACCAATCATCATAAGAAGACCCAAAAACTGAAAAATCATCCATAAACACTTCCACAAATATTTCCACCATGTCGGTGAAAATAGCCATCATGCACCTCTAGAAAGTGGCTGGTGCATTACCAAGTCCAAACGGCATTCGCTTGAAGGAAAAAGTGCCATAAGGACAAGTAAAAGTAGTCTTCTCCTGATCCTCTGGGCGTATGACAATCTGATTGTATCCCGAATAACCATCAAAGAAGCAGTAATATTCATGCCCGGCTAACTTGTCTAGAATTTGGTCAATGAATGGAAGAAGGAAATGGTCCTTGCCAGTTGCCTTGTTGAGCCTTCTATAATCAATGCAAACTTTCCATCCCATAACAGTGCGAGTAGGGATTAGTTCATTCTTCTCGTTCTCAACTACAGTCATTCCTCCCTTTTTGGGCACACATTGAACTGGGCTCACCCAGTTGCTGTCAGAAATAGGAAAAATGATACCTGCATCGAGCAACTTGATTACTTCCTTTTTCACCACCTCTTTCATAATAGGGTTTAATCTTCTTTGCTGCTCCACACTGGGGCAGTGTCCGTCCTCTAAAAAGATTTTATGCATGCAAAATGATGGACTAATACCCTTGATGTCAGCTATAGTCCACCCAATGGCCTTTTTATGCTCACAGAGTACTCTGAGCAATTTTTCTTCTTGAGTGCTGGTCAAGCTGGACGAAATAATCACGGGCAATGTCTCAGAGTTCCCTAAATAAGCATAGCGCAGATGCGATAGAAGTGGCTTGAGTTCTAGCTTCGGAGCTTCTTCAATAGATGGCCTGGGAAAGGTCAGAGTAACAGGCCTATCCAACTCTTCAAATTTTCTAAACCCATGTACATAACTGCAGGACATATCCAGTGCTTGCTCAATTTATCCTATCATTTCATCTTCACTATATTCTACATCCCCAATCAATACTTGTTCAACAGGATCTACAGGGCTCATATAGGGCACTAACGATGTGGCATCACTCTCCACCACAATGATCATGGATAACTCTTCATAGTGGGTTGGTAATTTGAGTGCTCTATAAACATTGAAGACCTCCACTGGATCACCCACTCTCATTGTCATCTTTCCTTCGCAAATATCAATAATAGCTCGGCCCGTGGCTAGGAATGGACACCCTAAAATAAATGGGACATCCTGATCGGGCTCGTAGTCTAGGATAATGAAATCAGCAGGGAATATGAAAGAACCCACTTAAACTAGCACATCTTCAATCACTCCCTCGGGATGAGCAAGAGAGTGATTATCTAACTATAAGATAACTATTGTTGGGCGTGGCTCACCCAACCCCAACTGTCTGAACACAGATAGCGGCATCAAGTTGATGCTCGCTCCAAGATCACATAAAGCTCGCCCAACAACATGTTTACCAATCGAGATTTGGATAGTGAAACTACCTGGATCTTTCAATTTCTGAGGTAACTTGCCCTGAATTCTTGAACTGCACTCCTCAGTGAGTGCCACAGTCTCGAACTTGGTTAGCCTTCTTTTATTTGCCACAATGTCCTTGATGTACTTTGCATATTTGGGCACTTCTTGTAAGATGTCAACCAATGGAATATTAATTTGCACCTGCTTCAAGATATCAAGAAACTTTTTATATACGGTATTATCTCTTAATTTCTGCAATATTTGAGGGAATGGAGGTGGTGGCCTTGCAACCAATTATGGGGTTTGCTCAGCCACCGCCTCTCCAGTTGGCTTCTCTAGATCCTTAGCTTTTTCTGATGTTGATTCAATAGTGGTTGGCCTCTCATGAAAAGTCACTAGTTTGCTCTTTTTCGACTGAACCTCTTCTAATTGTCTCCCATTCCTCAACGACACGACATTAAGGGATGCCTTAGAATTAGCTTTAGTCTCACTTGGAAAAGCTCCAACTGGTCTAGTGTTTTGAGCATTGGCAAGCTGTCCCATTTGGCGCTCCAAATTTCTGAAATCGGTCCTAAGTTGTTGATTGTCAAGCAACAACTGCTTCAACAAATCATTCCCTTTCTCTTCTACCTGTTGAGGTGTCTTCTGAGGTTGATTGAAATTTCCTTGGGGTCTATAATGATTCTGATTCGGCTGATTTCCACCCCATGAGAAGTTGGGATGATTCTTCCAATTTGGGTTATAAGTGTTCCAATATTGTGCATTCTGATTTATTGAACCCCTGCTCTGCTGTCCCACATAGTATATAGATTCTGGATTCGTGGGGCACATGTCACTTATATGGTTGTCACCACATAGTTCGCAACAAAGAGACATTTGTTGTACATGTTGCATTTGTTGTGTCTTTTGCATTGTCATTCTATTCATCTGGTTTGCCAATTTTGCTATCTCCGCTCTCATGGCCGAGAGGTCATCAATCTCAATCAACCCGGTTGTCTTCTGTTTACTTGCCTTGCGTGAATGCCCATCTCCTTGATAGTTATGATCATTAGCAGTGAAGTTATTCAGCAAGAGTTGAATTTCACTATATGGTTTCGCCATGCAACTACCACCACAAGCTGAATCAAGATTCATCTTTGAGGCCTCATCTAGCCCATCAACAAAAGTGTGTCCCAATACCTCATCAGTCTGACAATGGTGCAGGCAATCTCTGAGTAGCTTCTTGTATCTTTCCCAGGCTTGACGAAGTGTCTCTCCATCCCATTGTTCGAACCCAAGAATTTAACTCCTCAATGACTTTGTCTTCTTGGTGGGGAAAAACTTGATTAAGAATTTCCTTGCTAGATCATCTCAAGTGTGGATTGAGTTCGCGGGCTTTTTCTATAACCCTTCTTTAGCTTCCCCCAACAGTGAAAAGGGAAACAGTGTCAGCTCGACATAGTCCTTGGAAATGTTCAGATAATTGTAGGTGTCCATAATTTCCAAGAAATTCTGAATGTGCCTCTGCGGATCTTCATGAGATAGACCTATATATTGCCCTGTGGACTGAATCAACTGTACCATGTACTGTTTGAGTTCAAAATGCCTGGTGATCTCAGGATTCACAATAGCCTGAGTCATATTAGCAAGATTGGGCCTTGCGGCTTCTATCACCGCACACTCTACATTACCTGCCATCTCTATTGGTTGTGGTTGAACTACGATGTCCAACTCTCTTTCTATTCTAGTTCTAGCTTCGACCTCCCTCCTCACTCTGTGAAGTTTCCGTTTAATTTCAGGATCAAAAGGAAGGAGATTGTTTGCGCTTCTACTCCTCCGCATTCAAGAGAAGAGCATGTGTTAACACAAACAAGGAAAACTGAAAATTAAAATTTGAACAAATAACTAATGAAGGCTTAAGTCAGCAAAGTAGCTAATTTTTAAATCCCCGGCAACGACGCCAAAAACTTGTTGCTCCCAAACGCACACGCAAGTATACGTGGTCGACAAGTAATAAAATGATAAGTCGAGTGTCGAACCCATAGAGACTTATATCAACTACTCACTGACAAAATAATATTGTTATTCAGTCAAGCTAAGTTCGAGTTCAAGAGTTTAATTATGCTAACTACAATTCTAAGTAATAACTAAATTATCAAGCAGTAGAATGATTGTGATGTATTCAATAAAGACAACTATTCCAGGGCTGTGATCGATTCACCATTCATATTGTGTTCTCATTAACTCTCCCTTTCATATAATTCACTCATGGTTGCTAATTAATTGATAAATGCTCTCATAGCCTTATCCCGAAGTACTACTCACCTATTCTCAATAGATTAATGCCAATATTCCTATAAAATCAATCTATTAAGAACGCATTAAGATCACGATATTTAATTAAGCATGGTGACTAGGTATATTCCTATCCTAACCACAAATCCGCTCCCCCTAAGGGTTAAGATCATGCTCTATTCAATTCTTCTCTAATCTAAACACGGTTTTCCCAAGCATAGCATAGATAGTAAATAGAACCTAATTGTTGGCCAGACAATTAAGCAATTAAACACAGAATTGAAGAAACAACCATATCTTGGTGAATTATAATCAAGTTCAAGCTAATATCAAACAACAATATTCATGGCTAAATCAAAACCCCAGAACAATGGGTGTTTAGCCACTCATGTTGAAATCAAACAATTGCATAAGTTTTGAATAATTAAAAATACTAGAAAAGATGACCAAATATGAGATGTTCTTGTGTGTATTTTTGCTCCAAATTGCATCTCTCCAGGCTAAGCTCCCTCCCAAATTCCTCAAAATAACGTTTTTATATGTATTTATACCAAGTAGGGTTGGGCCTAGACGAAATACCTTCTCCCGCGCGATAGGACTCTGGCTCTGTAAAGTTTGTACAATCGCGCCGCACCATAGCCGCGCCATGTTCTGGGCTAATGGAAATTATCAGCAGCCTTAACTTTTCACATCAGGCAACATTTTACACTACTGCGCCGCGCCATGCGGCGTCCCATGCGGCGCGGCAATGTAATTTTCTCAGAGTAAACTTATTTCGTCCTTTTTTAACATCCGGACTTGGTACACGACCTCCGAACACGATCCGGCTTAATGTCTTGGGCTTTTACTCAGACTTCAAAGCTCCAAATCACTTGAATTCATTTCATAACACCTACATAGATCGGAATCACTCCTACAAGGCATAAAACACATATTTAGTGCAAAACACTAGCGATTAGAGCTCAAACTCAATTAAAGTGCAGTAAATTAGAGTGTAATAAGCGAACAAAATACACAATTATAGCCTATCATCAATTAGTATTTCAAAATTTATATAAAAGTAAATCAAAATACTTAATGAAAAGTGAAAACTTCCATGTACAGTCGAGGCTCGTCCCTCGACCCACCTTTCTTGATCCGTCACTTTCTTCTTCTTCACAATATGAGTCTCCTTGAATAGCTCATCTTGGTTCATCTAACGCCCCAACTTCTTTTCCTAAAAACTCATAAATTTTAGTTAATAAATAGAATATATATACTTTGAAAATTAAAATAAATTAAGCAATTACGTACCATTCTTCTTTTTATTGTCCCTAGGCTGATCGCACCTCCAGTGTGCAAGGATCCTCCCTTCTCGTATGCGCGAGATTTCTTTCCTTTTTCGCTCTTCTCTAAGAACTTTGCAGTAAGCGATTGCCTTTGCAAATCCTCCCATAAATTTTGAAGCAACCAGTCAGGCTTCTAGTTCAACTTTCTAGCTTTGGAGAAAGTATGTGACAACCGTTTGCGAGCTTTGAGATAAAAATTTGCAGCCACGTCCGCGCTATAGCGGTGTTCCCATACACATTTGCTCTGTATTTCAAAAGTTAAATATTATATGGAAATATCATAAATATAAATAATTATACTGCTTAAAAGAATATTTATACCTTAAATTCATTGAAAATTTGCTCCTTCAGCGAGAATGTGAATTCACTCCAAGACGCATAAGGGACATCATAAAGCTTTTTGGTTGCTTTTGTGATTATCCTCTTAGTAATATTACTCGGGATGAACCTGCAATTTAATAAAAAAACACATTAATATCTTAGTAAAAACTATACAAAATAATAAACGTAAAAATAACAAATAACTCTTACCCATCACCCTCAGGGACTATGATGATCCTGCCATATTGATCATAACGCACCTCCTCGTCAGTATCACTATCATCGTCCGAAACATGTATATCAGAGGCATGTGTGGAAGGTGTAGGGGGTCAGAGCTAGTATCTCGTAGTCGAAGGCCTGGAATAGATGTAGTCCCTGATGAAGATGGATGTGATCCCTGTGACTACGACATAGCTGTATGGACCGTCAGTGGATGTGATACTGATTGCTGTGACCCAAGTGGCTGTGACACTGATGGATGTGATCCATGTGGATGTGACGTGGATCGATGTGATCCATGTGATGCTGATGGGTGTGATCCATGTGGTAGTGAGGCAGGTGGACTGTATGTCAGACGTATAGTCCTATGGCCCTGTGATGAAAGACCTGCTGTCTGCACGAAGGTATAGGATGTGTGATGCTGTGGCAGCTCAGAATAGCCCTGGGGTGGAGGCAAAGACACAGGCATAGGCATAGGCACATCAGAAGAGGGTGGAAAAGATTGAGTATTATCTTATACCCTCCTCTTTGGTTTCCTAGCCTTTTCTCGACCCCGAGAACCACTATGACCATTGTTACCTCGACCTTTGCATGTCATCTACATAATATAATACATATTTAGATTGAAACATATAAAGAAACTAGTTATAGATGAGAGTTATTAAAGAAACCAACTTTTTAAAGCTCATCGACATATTGTTCCTCGTCAGAGAATTCTTCTTCCTCACTAGTTTGAGCTTCATCAGTTGATTCTTCTTCATCATTTTCTATAATTCTTGCTTCATTTATATCAACTTCTTCCAATATGTGTTCAGGATGTTCCAAATCATTTTCTAAAAGTTCATCCACTATTTGGTGAACACTGGAGATATTGTTTTGATATGCAACATCTAATACATTCTCGACTTCCACCCTACCTACAGGCTTAGTTTTGATTACAACCCACCAATAGTACTTATTCCGCTGCAATGGATAAGAAGCATAATATACTTTCCTAACATTATGTGCAATTATGAAAGGATCATAGCGATCATACTCCCTCGTATGATTAACCTCAATTATGTTGTATTGATTGTGTACTCTTGTACCTCTTGTTGGATTTGGGTCAAACCACTTGCATCTAAAAAGTATCAATTTCTTAAATGACCAACCTGTATATTCTAGTTCTATTATTTCTTTGAGCACACCATAATAATCAATATCTCCAACTTGGTTGCCATCACCACCTTGAACCCACACTCCACTGTTGTTGCTATTTGTATTTTTAGAGCAATCCTCTGTATGAAACTTATAACCATTCACAACGTACTTAGACATTGTTGTGACCTGAAGCCCAGGCCCCCAAGATATCTCTTTCAAAAATTGATTTACACCATTATTTGGATCATTTGCCTACATATTGTTAAAAAAATTCATAAGTTAGCATAACTTCCAAACATTGTTTACCTACATAGTGTTAGAATATTTTAAGGATAAACTTACAAATGGTTTGAACCATGTATCAAATGTCGTATATATAGCATCATGGCCAAATTGACCCACAAAGTGACTATGACACGTCAAATATTTTTAGTAGTTGCATTGAGATGTAATCACGGTAAATTTTATATTTTGATAACTACTAAACCAATACTTACTTGAGAAATGGAACAACTTCGGGACAATTTAGCAACACATGAAGTTTAGCTGACCTGTACTCCATATCACTCAAACTTCTCTTTCTAACATCCTTTGAACATCGGCCCGGTTGATTGAATATGGACATAGGCGGATATAATGGATCATTCATACATTCGACCGTGTGCCTATTGGGCCTATTCCTAGCACATGACACATTACTCTCAAAATAATAAGAACAAAAATCAGCAGTTTCCTTTGCAAGATAAGCTTTGCATATAGATCCTTCAATCCTATTCCTCTGCTTAACAATTTTTTTGCGTTTGCCAATTGTCCTACATAATTTCAGGTTAGACAAGAACATTCAAATAAAACAGAAAATTACATCAAACTTATAATATTACCTCTCAATGTGGATTGTAAGGTGTTCCATCACATCAAAAAATCCACATGGAAATATCTTTTCCATCTTACTAGAAGTTACACGAATATTCTGATCCATCCGGAGCATGTTTTCTTCCCTTAATGTGGAAGAACACAAGTCTTTGAAAAACAAACTAATCTCTGTGATGGGTTTCCAGATTCTTTCAGGCAAACCACAAAATGCAATAGGCACTAAGGTCTCCATGAAAACATGACAGTCATGACTTTTCAAATGTCTCAACTTCCCTACCTCAATATCAACGTTTTCCCAAGATTCAACGCATAACCCTCAGGCATTTTCAATTTTGTTACCCAATCGCAAATTTTCCGTCTTTCCTCCAAAGTGAATGTGTAACTTGCTTTGGACTTGAATATCTTACCATTATTTGCTGTCTGCAAGTATAATTCAGGCCGCCTGCAATATTCTTGTAAGTCCATTCTAGCCTTCGGGTTATCCTTTGTCTTATCTTTAACATCCATCACTATATTGAATAAATTGTCAAAATAATTCTTCTCAATATGCATGACATCAAGGTTGTGACGGAGAAGATTATCCTTCCAATAAGGCAATTCCCAAAATATACTTTGTTTCGTCCAATTATGAGTAACACCGTATCTGGGGAATCTATAAGTTGGAGCTTCAGTAACTTTACTGAAGTTCTGGACCCTCTCCCAAATTTCCTCACCTGAAAGTATCAGAGGTGGAGAATCATATTCCATTTTATTCTTTTTGAATGCATTTTTCATCCTTCTAAACTCATGATCAGGAGGCAAGAATTGACGATGACAATCAAACCATGATTGCTTTCGGCCATGTTTCAAAGTGAACGCTTTACTATTTTCCATGCAGTAAGGACAAGCTAGCTTCCCAACAGTCATCCACCCAGACAACATTCCATACACACGAAAATCGTTAATTGTCCACATTAAATTAGCACGTAAATTGAAATTCTGCTTGGTTGATATGTCATATGTGTAAGCACGTGATTTTTGCTTTACGAGCAATCGCTCCAAAAGAAAATAAAAATAGTGA